CATAGTATTCCATTGTGCGAATATACCACAGCTTCTCTAGCCATTCGTTTGTTGATGGGCACTTAGGTTGTTTCCAACTCCTTGCTATTGTGAACAAAAGGATGGCAAGATTTTGACTTGCTTACTTCGACCATGCCATCATTTTTGGTTAAGTGGAAGGCCTGTGAAAATGAGGGGAATGTTCATTGAAATGTGATGCCTTCGTGGTTGCAACAATAGGCTCCCACGTACCAAGGATCATGGAAGTGGTACAGGACCAGGTAACGTTTCCCTGTGCCGAACATAATGTCAAAAGTCGGATCCACTTCAATAACAACTACCCAATGCGACTTGTTTCTAACTTGTATGCCAGTCACCAGTGAATTAATCTTTATGGAATGTTGCATCAGGTTCAGACTGCAAAAATGGATAGAAATCCTCAATTTCTTAAATTTTTCAATCTAGTGGTTTGTGTTTCTATTTTAGTAATAATTGTATTAACAAGATAGATGGCTTGTATCCAATAACTCACAGCATTGCACTTCAGGATAGATCTTGAAATTATCTCAAGGTGAATGTGACACCATTCTTCTTCAATCTGTTATTCCTGGTGTAATAGACCAAATGATTGTGTAATTAAAAATGGTGACTAGTCCATCTCGGTTCACTAATGCTCAAAATATTGATCTTGATGTGTTCTATCTATTTTTCACCAACTTGCAGTTTCCCTAGTTTCATAGTTCATACTTCTCATCTTCTAATTATTACTGGATGTTTGCAGCTTTTTCTTCTAATTTTTTGAGTACCTTTTAACCCAAGAGGCTCATTTTCAAGCACTATTTCTAATATGTTCTTTTTCAGAGGCATGCTATGTCTAAGGAAGGAGTGGTAGTTAGAAAATATGGTCTTGGTTACAGGAGTTACATTGAAGATAAAATGATTTATTCATTGCAAAGACATTCTCCCCCCAAAAAAACCCAACAGCACACAAAGGAATGGACCACACAAAGGAATCAGCTTGAAACATTTGTGGAATGAGTTGATGGAGAAGTTCAACTTGAATAGTAAGCATACAGCCAGGATCTGACTGTGGAACAGATCATCAATTACTCATGTATGAGCCAGTTCAAATTGAAGTTGAAAAAGAATGGAAATAAGTATACAAGAGCCAAAATAGGACCTTGAGTCTATCTCATCTGAGTTAAAAAACCATCTCTAGAATAGATCTGATGCATTGAAGATTAATGACTGAAGATCAAATGAATTGTGGGATGACATCAAGCACATCATTCATGAAGACAGCAAAAGGCTATTATCACAAAGAAAGGAAAAAACAACACATACAAGTGAAAGTTGACTAATGAAGGTTGAAAGAGAATTGATGCCTTTGAGTTGGATGAACTGGCAAAAGAATATACAAATGTTCTTAGGAGGAAGTGCAACCCTGGTGTCATTAGAGGCAAGGATGAGAAAACTCTTGTCTCTCACACTTCAAGTATGTCGGAAGGAGGAGCCAACTCTTGGAAGAAGGCAATGATGGGAAATCCAGGACTCCAGTTCAATATGGGAAGATCCTCACCGAAGTCGTTCGACACCGTGACTGCAGCAGTAGGTTTGAGAGT